CAGAGGTGGTATTGAGAATGGCTTCTGAGATCCTTCCTGATCCTTGATCATTAGACAAAGAATTCATTAACTCAAATGTTTTAAGAGTTTTTCCAATAAAACACATTTCTTGCAAATCTGGAAATTCAACTTCACTAAAGAACTCTGAGTTAAGCCACATTCTGAATCTGAAAGGCCTCTCTCTTTGGGCCTGTTTATGATACTTTAAATTCTCCTTATCATCCTAAGAGGAAGTTACTTGGCATCAGCCCTGAAAAGAAAGGTGGGGGCGGGGGACATTGTGGGCTTGGGCTTCTCAGCTCAGTAAGGAATTACTGTTATTGGGCGCCTGGGTGGCTCAGTGGGTTAAGCGTCTGTGTTCGGCTCAGGTCATGATCCCAGGGTCCTGGGATCGAGTCCTGCGTCGGGCTCCTTGCTGGGTGGAAAGCCTGCTTCTCCCTCTGCCCCTCCCCCTGTCACTCATGTGTGCGGCTCCCTCTCTCTCTCTCTCACAAATATAGACAAAATCTTTAAAAAATAAAGAATTATTGTTATTTCCCACCTGTCTTCTCTGTCTCTCTCTCTCTCAACACACACGTACATATATGTAAGTGTGCAGAGGCTCACTCTACCTAACGACAAACGCCTTCCTCGAACCCACGCGAACATGTCAGCAGCTTCAAGTAGGGGTGGATGTGTTTGGCCCTGCACATTCATTGCATATCTCACCAGCTGCTATTTAGAATTGACTGAATCGTCTGTGTCCCCAGCAGAGAGACAGAGTGGAAAGAGAGACTCCCTCTGGTGTCGGTTCCAGAGGCGCGAGGCCATGAAGAAGAGGGAGCGCCCAGAGAGATGGCAAAGGCCCTGTAGATTTTCTGTTGGCCTGGGAGCTGGAGGCGTGGCCCGGGGCCCCGGGGAGCCCAGGTCAGCCTCTTCCCATGTCTGGGCTCTGGTTTCTTCTCCAGCAGGACGGAAGCGCTGCACCAGGCCTGAGAAATGATGGCCAAGAATAGCTTATAATCCATTCTTGTTACTGCCTTCCGTCCGCAAGTATGCCTAGAACAGGGCCGCCCCATGGGGACAAGGGTCAATCACTCTGCGGTCCCCGGCCCCACCTTTGCCCACATTAATCCACCTGGAACCGGGCTGGAATGAACACGGAGGCAGCTCTGGAAGGAAAGAGGTCACAGATGGCATTATGCCCTGAGGACGGGTGTGGATGTGGCTGGGGGTGGGTGGGCACTGTGAGGAGGTCTGTCCCATCCTCTCTGCTCTGGGGAAATTATATTTATACAAGTCTTTTGAGGCCTGGCCTGGAGACCTGCCCCTACCTCTCAGCAGACTGTCCTCCAGCTCTCTCAGCCCAGGGACAGAGAGGATTCCAAAAGCTGGGGTCTGGGACACATGCCTCGATCACTGGACTTCGGGGCCAGTTCAGTCAGCAGCTTTCCTTGGGGTCACTACCTTTGTTAGGAGGAAGAAAGGCCCCTCGCTGGGCAGGGACCCAGGTTGAATCCCGGGGGAGAGTGGCTGGCCCCCAGCTCTGGGAGGGGAGGCAAAGAGGAACGACGCCTGTCGATGAGGAACGGCCTGCAGGAATGGCTTCACCTGCCGCCGAGCACCGGGTTCCTGCCGCATCTAAGGGCCTGTGGCCGCGCAGAGTCGGGACAGCAACACCTCTAGCAAGCCCTGGTTAGGACACTCCCCAGGGGCCAAGAGCAAGGAACGAAAGTGGGCTTCTTACCTCTGGAACAGGGTTCTTTTAGGAGGAGGAGGCAAGGGGTGGCCGCCATTAGCCTCTTCCAGAATTACTGAAAACTGTGGGCTCATTCCATGTCCTGCAGCCTCCCGGAAGACACATGTGCCTCTTCCCATGACCCTGGGGGTGATATCCCTCGAGTGTCCCTTGTCCACCTAATCGAATCATCTGGAAGTGGCCATTAGAATGCAGATTCCAGGGCCCCACCCTGGACCTATGGAATCAGAATCCTTGGGCTGTGGGTGGGGAGATCTTGGAATGTGTTCTGAGGCTTCCTTTTAGGAGCAAAGCCCTCAAGTGGGAGGAGCACCTAGAGCCGGATCCTGCTTAACGAGCCCCCCAGCTGATTAAGCAACAGGCAGAACATGAGGTAGGGAGGGACGGCCAGGAGCAGGCCCACCGCCCCCACCCTGGAGTGCTGAGAAGAGGCTGGGCTGCGCGCCAGGAGTTCCGTGAGCCCGGTAAGGACTTCGTTCATCCCGTGAGGGGCTTAGGGTCTGGTGGCTAAGGTCTGTCCATCTATCTCATTTTAGCTTTTCTTAGCATCGTGGTGTGGACTTCTGAGCCAAACAACGGAAGGACCTTTGGGCTTCAAAGCAGTGTATCCACCCACATTGTTGGCTGCTGGACAGTTTTAACTTGATGGTTTTGCATTTCCTTTCCTGAAGTGGCTTGGGTTTCTTACTTGTAAAGATTAAGAAAAATTTTTTTAAATAAATATTTATCTAAATTATAAATATATGTATTTAAATGTGTGTTTATATAATAAACGTAATATATAAATATAAATAAATATACAAAACATTTATATAACAAATATACATTTATATAAGTATATATATAATAAACACAAATTTACATAAATATATAAAATTTATTTATCATCCACACTTGTATTTTTTTTTTTAATAAAAGTGACATGCTCATTCTTGCTCCTCCTTCTCAGAGGTGACTCTTACTGAACAAAACAGCATTGTCAAAGCGGCAGCTTCATAACCAGCACTGAGTGCTCACTATGAAACAGGCAGCGTACTAGCTGCTGTCCGTTCATCACCCATTTAAACCTCATGACAACCTGATGAGGTAGGCATTTCTCTCTTATTAGGGTTGGGGAAATTTTGTATACACACATACATATATGTAAATACCAATAATTTATTTTTGTAAGAATATAACAATGTCATGCCTACTGTTCTGCATCTTGCTTTTTTCTTTTAAAGATTTTATTTATTTATTTGAGAGACAGAGAGCACAAGCAGGGGGAGTGGCAGAGGGAGAGGGAGAAGCAGGCTCCCTGCTGAGCCGGGAACCTGACGTGGGCCTCGATCCCAGGACCCTGAGATTGTGACCTGAGCCGAAAGGCAGAAGCTTAACCGACTGAGCCATCCAGGCGCCCCCCGCAACTTGCTTTTGTCATTCTCACTATATTGTAAACATCTTTCCGTGACTGCACATTTAACCGAACATTGAACATCTGCAGAGCATCCCATCCCATGAAGTCCGCATAATTAAACAATCCCTGAATAATTTTTTTTTTATTACACGATGCTACAGTGAACATTACAAAACAATCTGTGTGTTGAGTATTTCTGTAGGACAGATTTCCGGAAGTAGAAACAGTAGGTGACTATACACACATCAGATCATTACGTTGTATACCTTGACCTGATACAATGCCATATGTCAATTACATTTCAATAAAACTAGGGAGACAGCAGAGTCTTCAATCCAGCTTAAAAAAAGAAACAGTAGGTAAAAATCTTTAGACACTCTGGATAACAGATCTGTATTTGAATGTGTCTTCTATTTGCTGAAGGTCTTTTCAAACCTCAGTCCAAATACAAAGTGAGGATCAGGACATCTGTTTCTCAGAGCTGGTTTTAGATTCTTGGTTCTGCCACTAAACGGCTATGCAACTGGGAACCACAGAGCAAGTATATTATTACTATTGCTACTTTTTGACATACCATGTTCTATTAGTTTCAGGTGTACAACAGAGTGATTCAACAATCCCGTACATTATGCTCTGCTCACCACAGTTAAGTGTAGTCACGATACAATGTTATTGCGGTATTATTGACTTTATTCCCCATCCTGCACTTTTCATCCCTGAGACTTCCTTATTTTATAACTGGAAGTTTGTACCTTTTAATCTCCTTCGCCGTCCCCCCACCCCCTCCTCTCTGGCAACCACCAGTTTGTTCTCTGTATTCATGAGTCTGTTTCTGTTTTGTTTGTATTAAACGTATGGGGCCTGGATGTCTTCTGGCACAAGATGACAACATGGTAAGATATATTTTCTGAAGCCTCCTTATGCTCTACCATTCCCAGATATGATTAGTCCTTTCACTCTCTGCCTCTGTTTTCCTGTTTATGGAAAAAGATTTGATGTTTTTGGCCTTGTAGGATCAATGAATTACCGTCAGTTAGTTAAGACCTTTCAAACTTAGAAGTGGTAAGTCGTTGCCTTAATTCCTTGTAGAGAAAACAGATCTTTGCTGTATATGACCTAAAACTGCTTCGACTTCTAGAATAGTTACTGGGTCTTAAGAAAATAAGATAATTATTGAGTCCAAGAGGCGGCTCTGTCTCGGCATTTTGGACCAGGGGCATGACAAGGAGCAGGAGTTGTTTGGGAGGGTTCATATGATATCGCATCTCTCGGAACCTTGCCTTCCTGGAATGAGCATTTATTTCCAACTGTATGTTCCCTGACAAAGAAGGGATTGTGTGGAGCGTGACCTCATAGAACACAGTGCATTTTATATGACAGACTTACCCGATCTCTGTGCTGTGTGGGACAAAGTCTAAGATAATAAGGCCTTCCATTTCCTCTGTGTTCCATAGTCATTATCACCCTTGGCCCTCGCAACATCCCTGATGCAATAGCCAGAGAGGGGAGCTATCCCCGCCATTAAGATGTAGATGCAGAAGGGCGCCTGGGTGGCTCAGTTGGTTAGGCGACTGCCTTCGGCTCAGGTCATGATCCTGGAGTCCCGGGATCGAGTCCCACATCCGGCTCCCTGCTCAGCAGGGAGTCTGCTTCTCCCTCTGACCCTCCCCCCCTCATGCTCTCTCTCTCTCTCTCTCTCATTCTCTCTCTCAAATAAATAAATAAAATCTTTAAAAAAAAAAAGATGTAGATGCAGAAAATCAGAGATCTGTGCTGACTTGCCTCATCCTACACTCAGTGGTGAGACACAGAGCCCCTGCAGAGTCCAGGGCCCATCCTTGCTCCTCTGCAGTGGGTCCTGGCCTGTTACTCTCTACTTCCTTTGCACGGATCCTTTCTAATGGCTGGGCTCCTCTTCAGTGTCTTCCCTGATCCAGAGCTATCCACTTGAAAAGGTACAACACCTTCATCTTTTAAGGGGCACGTACAGGCGACAGCATGGAACTTCTCTGAATTTGGGATCCGGCCGATGGTGAGTTTTATTTTCTAGAACACAAGTATGAGGGAAACTAAATGACTAAAGATTATCCTTACGGTTGTTTGTTCTCAGTCTGTCCTCATCAACACTCTTTGAAGCTGGTTTTGAAGAAAAACCCTACGGTGAACCACAAAATCTGGGCCAGAGGAAGTCAGGATGACTTGTATATTCAGGTGGAGGGTGGATTTTTATTCTCTGGTGGCCACCAGCCTGAGCCTTTAGGGTAGCTTCCAGGGAGCGCAGATGAGGCCTGAGGGGCCCAGTGGTACCAGGAAGTAAAAGCCTCTCGAAACTAGAATATCCAGATGAGACCATACAAAACCAGCCCCGGACAAGATCAGGGGGAAATTGAAGTTTGATGTGTCTCTCCCGTAATCTAGCATCTCCTCCCCCCCACTTTTTTTTTTTTTAACACACACCCCTTCTCCGCCTCCTCTTAAACTCTCACATGGTCTCCTCTCGCTGTCACTTCCCCGTTCCCAAGCCAACCTCCTTGTCTCTCAGCTGCGGCCCAACAGGAGGGAAAGTAGATGTGATCGGTCCAAAGGCTCTAAAACAATTAGAGCCCTTGGCTGCCCCTCCTTTTGTTCCATATCCCCCTTCTTCCAACATTCTTTTCCCTTCCAGGGACCAGCTATTTGAATTTTTAAAAAGGAACTGGACATCCATTTTAACATAAACAACAGTCAGGATTGGAGGTGGGGGAATGGGAAATTAGAAGTTTTTGATCTCCCAGATAACCATGTTGGCAAACACCCCTAACTGTTAGCCTATAGAAAGGGACAGGCAGAATCAGGAGAAATGCTATTGTCCCCTCCCATGCAAGAGACTCGACAGTCTAGAAGGGTGGTCTTGATACACTGAAGTCAGCAGTGCCCAGGGCGAGGTCCTGAGTTTGCTCCCGGGGAAAAATCCTTTTTTTTTTTTTTTTTTGGCTTCAGAGCTAATGCCTGGATCTCTGGGTCAGAATGTTGTTTGGTAACTTTCAGAAGATTATATTGAACGCCTGCCTGCCCCAGGGTAGGTTTCTGGCAGAGGAAATATACTATAGTCACCTGATTGTTGGTCTGAGCCCCTGACATCTACTTCTTTTCCAAACTCCTACCCGATTTTCAAAACCCAAGCCAGACACTACCTTCTCTGAGACACCTTTCAAGCCTTCCTCATACAGATTTACTCCTTTTTTCTGTCTGTTCCCATGGCCCTCTGTTCACATCTTAGGGCACACACTGTATTGTAACTAGCACATAACATGCCTATTTGATTCATAATATGCGAGCTCCTTAAGCTTGGGCTGAGGCCATTTATGTAGCTCTGGGACTTAGCCCAAGATCCAGCATACAGGAGGTGTTCAATAAATAGTGAATGAATGACTGAATGAAGGAATAAATCTTTGCCTTGCCACTAACTAGTTATGTCCCTTAGACAATTCATCATCCTTGCTGGCTTTCCCCATTTAGAGAATACGCATAGCATCATTTGTTTAACCAACAAGGTTACTATGTAATGCAGAGATAAGACCTATAGAATCATAAACCCTCAGAGCTGGAAGAAATTGGAGAGATCATCTAGCGTAGTGGTTTTCAGGAATTTTAAGCCAAGGAAATATTTCTTCCGGGAGAGCTAACAGAGCCAACGTAGAAAGCAGATAAATGATAAATGTAGATCATTCTTGTTGAAGTCTCATATACTGTCCCCTTCCTCACCTCTTCCTCAAGTCCCTGTCTCTTAGGGGGCTCAAGAAGCACAGGTTGAAAACCAACTATCTTACTGTAGACAGACAAAGCTGAAGCCCAGAGAGAAAGTGATTTTCCCAAGGTCATGTGGCGTGTTAGAAATAAACATAGGCCAGGGAAGGAATTCACCCCGCTGAGCCGGTACCCACAGGCAGAGCCGTGGAGAGCCCTTTGAAAACATACATCGTTAATACACACTCACATGTTTTGTTTAATTCTTCCAATAACTCCGTGAGGAAGGTATGGCGAGGCCAATTTCAGAGATGAGGAGTCCAAAGAGTAAAAAAGCTGACCCTGGCCAATGTTCCCCAGCCAATAGTGGGAGAAGCAAAAGCAGTAAACGCTATGGAGTGCCTAGTGGGGGCTGGTCCCATTTGTAAGAATGTGACACATATTATCACAGTTAATTCTCCGACAAGTATTAGCGTTACCCCCAATTTTGCAGAAGAGAAAGCTGAGGCACAGATTGTCTAAAGGAAATGCAACACACACCCTGAGCCAACGTGATTCCCTTGCAAGCTCCTTCCACCACCTCATGCTCTGTCTGAGGTCCTGGACCCTGATGTTTGGTCTCCTACCCTGGGGGCCTCTCCAAATACCTATTTTATATGAAGCAATTTTGAAAAGCTTCTAAAACAACATTCTGTTATTTGCATGTATTTGCATGTACTGTTCGGATTCCTCTGGAGACCTTGATCTTATTCCTGTCTAGGGCCGGTCAGCAAGACTCACCTCCTTCTGGACACACCGGCTGAGAAACAAGGAGGCCTCGTCCAGGCCATGGGGCTTCAGGTCATTCACGGCCAAAAGATGATCTCCGTGAAAGAATAAGCATCCCAGGCGCGGGGGGCCTTGCCACTGAGCCACACTGCAAGGGGACATAACATTCAACACAAGTGTGAGACTGTGCTCGCAGGACACATTGGCCTTCCCTCATTACCGTCACCAGCTTCTTCACCTATGTTGCACTGCATCTGAAGCAGACAAATTCCATTTTCTGTTGGAATATTCTCTCATCTGTCACTACTGTTGGACCCCAGCCCTTCTTCCAAAACCAACTCTGATCATACCGTCTCTACACGGGCCTCCTTCATTCCTCTTCCTTTAATGACCCTCCCTGCCCCTGGGCTTCTATTGCACGGTGGGAACACCCATTTATGGTATGTTTAAATCACATGCATTTTACATTTGCTTGTTTATGTGGCTGTCTTTTTCACCAGGCTATGAGACCCCAGAAGTATAGCACTACCTTCCCCCCCCAAAAAAATTTATAGCCACACAACTCCAAGTAAACAGAAGATGTTTAATAATTATTTATTGAAAGGGAGCATATGATGATTATACAATGACTATCTAATGAACAATAAATAAATTGAGGAATGAGCAAACTCAGGCACAGAGAAGTCTACAGTTTCAGTCAAGTATTTATTGAACCTCTGAGATTGTAGGAAATTTGGAAAAGTGGAGGATTGTGTTTCCTGTCCTCTTACAGAAGTTATCATCCCTTTACCTTAAAGGACTTCCTTCCCTTGTAAAAATGTAATCTTCCACCAAAATAAATTGCAAAGTTCTTAAAGGGATACAGAGCCAAATAAACAGTGCTGACTTTAAGAAAATTCTCTCTCTTGTGTCTGTCCCTGACAAGAGGTGTCTGGAAGACTTTGACCTTGGTCCACCTTTTCTTTTAGACCTTAGATTCTTGTTGACTTCACGAACTTCATTCATTTATACAGTAGTCATTGCTCAGTGACTGGGGATGATTTCCTTGGACCATACCTATTCCTTCCTGCTTTTCCTTACCTTCAAAGTATCGGAGACTTGCTGCTTATTGGACTTTTGGGTCCTCCTATCCGCAACCCACCTCCCAGCTGATGCTCCAACAGCTACACCCTTATTTCTGCTGCAACCAAAGACCTTTGGTGATATAAGCAACACCACTGTCCAAACTCTTTGTTTTGCCACATACAGAGTTTCAAGATAAAATTGTTGTCTCCCTATCTTCCAACCCCATTTATAATCAAGAACCCTCAGATCTTCAACCTACCATATCCGTCCTGCGGCTTCTATGAGAGTAAGATAATTGATGATGTCGGAAGGAGAAAGGAACACATTTAGTTTCTCCACTTGGCCTTCATCAGGGATGTTACTATGAGATAAAATGTTTGTAAAAGTCACATCGGGCCACTGTTTCTGGCTCTGAACTGGACTTCCTGAGTAGACTTTGGCCTCCTACATCTAAGATGGTATTTTCCAGTTAAAGATTGTCCCCCAAATTTGGAGAATATGAATTTAAGTTACTCACTGATGCCCTCCCCACCCCTCTTGGAATGTGCTAGTGGATGGCAGACAGTGAGTACAAAATGGACTAAGTTGATTATATATCACATCCATCTGCTCATTTCTCCACTGGAAATGATCCCATAGAAGATGACAATGGAAAGAGTGAAAATGGAGAACAATCTCATCAAATATTTTGTCATCACTTAAAACCTAAACATCCCCCTCCTATTCTATAACCAAACATCATACAACTTGTGTGACTGTAATTTTAACTGTAGGCATTGGGGGACACACTACCTAGTTCAGTGTGATCCAAAGATCTAGGGCCTGAAACACTAGCCAAGGGAGAATTTTTAGAAATAATTGAAAATGCCACCCAGAGCCCAGGGGACCACTTTGCTTCCAGCTCTGTTACTCACTGTCCTTGGCTACCACATCAGTGAGAAGGGGAAGCTGGTCAAAATGTTGGCTAACTTGGAGATTTTTAGGAACTACTTTAAAATTTGAATTCTAAGTAAAAAAGGAAGGCTGCCTTGCTCTAAGAGCCCACAGAGGTTTAGAAATTAGAACTTTACTTGATTAGTACAGATAATTGCACAACAGTAAGTGAGGCCGACCGCTTTTTGTCATTCATGGTCTGTGCTTCCATATTGGCAGGTGGAACACAAGAGTCACTTTGTGAATCTTGTTCTTGCAAGTGAAGCCCACTATTCTGGCTCCCTGGAAGGGCCTGGGATTCCTTTTCGCTATCAGCAGTCTTGTGGGATGTCTCTCTGAAAAAACTATGGTATAAGAAATTAACATAATACCCTTTTTCAGCAAATCTATTTATAACTTTCTATGGTATATGAATCAGATTTCAGTAGCTAGGAGCCCTGTGAAAACTAACAAGGTCTTCAAGTATGCCTAACCCTCAGAATCACACTTAGAATCAAATTTGACAAACTTTCCTTCTGAAAGTGGAAATGGCGTCAAAATAACGCTTTACATTGGGAGGACTTGGAACACAGAAGGGAGAGTGTGAGACATAAATTCAGAATAGAAAATCAGTTCCCCAGGAGACAGAATATGGTCTGAGGCAGTCACTAAATGGTTTTCAAGTGTTAGAGAAATCATTCTCACTTCTTGTTTTCAGATTATTGGAATAATATGGTGAACTTGGTCTATAGTAATACTTTTGAATTAATATATCAACAGTAATTGTTCTATAAAAGTGCATTAGTTAAAAATCAGTTTTAAGAACATGGCAATTTGGGATGCCTGGGTGGCTCAGTCGGTGAAGCGGCTGCCTTCGGCTCAGGTCAGTATCCCAGGGTCCTGGGATCGAGCCCCGCATCGGGCTCCCTGCTCAGCGGGGAGCCTGCTTCTCCCTCTCCCACTCCCCCTGCTTGTGTTCCCTCTCTCACTGTGTCTCTCTCTCTGTCAAATAAATAAATAAAATCTTAAAAAAAAAAAAAGAACATGGCAATTTTACATACCAGGATTTCATTGACATGTAGTGATTCTCAGTTCTCTTGGAGAACTGGTCTGGACTGTCAGCTTCAGCAGATTCACCAGAATCACTGGAAGCAACAAAAGTATCCACCTATAGACAAGAGGAATAGACATAAGAATGCAACTGTACCAATAGCCAGGCGCCTCTTTACCCCCTTCCATGATGGTTCTGGGCCCTGAAATAGTAAGTACGTCCACCACTGAAGGAACAGTGGTGCTCATTCTAGGAGACTGAACCAGTAAAGCTTCTCTGACTCAAAGTCTGTTTTCACCTCCTGGATTCCCCCATGCTCCCAATACAGTGTTTTATTGGACTAAATTGCTATTTATTTTTCTGTTTCATCACTAAGCACTTAATGATGTGAACTTTTTCCCAACCGGTGCTACTTTAGAATCACGTCACCTGGCTGGGTCAGACTCCCACACAACACAGAGCTGTCCCCAGGCTACTCTGCTCACAGGCTAACCAAGTGGCTGCAAAGGGCTGCAAAGGTCCTAGAAAATATTGCCCCCCAGGAGGCTCTCCACTAGCCCCTCACAACTAAGTCATTTGGGGGAATGGTTGCTCAAAAACCCTGAGGGCTTTTAGCTGCCTGCCTAACAGATGAATCATGAACCCATAATTGGAAAAATTCATTCCAGTCAAGCCAGTCTTTCTGCGGCTCCCCTATGAATGGTGGTCTTCCAGAGCCAGCTTTCATGGCCCTTGCTTCACCTGGAGTACCCCTTGCCCTCTGGCCTGACGAAGCTGTGTTCAGGCTTTGCGAGGTCCCACAGCCCCCTCTGACCACCTCAGCCTTCGCCCATCTCCTCCTTCTCTGAACTTCTCCTGCACAGTTTTGTACTTAATTTGGGGAGGGAGTCTTTTTTTCAATGGCCTTTTAGCTTTGTTCTATCAGCCTTACTAGCTTCGTTTTAGTTGGTCTTCTCTCTTGGAATTACCTCCCCTGCCTTCCTTCCCTCATGCACTCCATGCATTTTGTAAGCATCTCTCCTCAGCATGGAACCCTTTCTGTCTGGTATTGTGGCACCTCCTATTCAAGTGTCTACTCTGTGAGCACATCACCTGAGCCTGATTCATTGCTCTGTTCCACCAAACCCAGCCCAGTACCTCAGGAAGAGCATGCAGCTGGGGACCAGCAAATATTTGTACAAGGAATGAAGGATTAATGGATAGAAGGACTTACCTCTAAAAGAATACTTTGAGGACTAATATAATGACTCTCTTCTGTATCTTCAGTAGTCTCTGACGAGAAATAATGTAGTAAATGGGCTTGTCTTTGTCCTGGAGAATTTTTTTCCATTAAATGCTGAATAAAGAGATGAAGACAGAATTAATTCTTTTCTTTCTTTCTTTCTTTCTTTCTTTCTTTCTTTCTTTCTTTCTTTCTTTCTTTCCTTCCTTCCTTCCTTCCTTCCTTCTTTCTTTCTCTATTTCTTTCTTTCTCTTTCTTCTTTTTGCAGGGGACAGAATTAAACCATATGCTCTCTGGAAAAGCCATAATAGATTAATTGGGTTGCTGGAAGCCATAATAGATTAATTGGGTTGCTTGGAAGCCATAATAGATTAATTGGGTTGCTCGGAAGATCGGAGGATCTTCCAAGGTTACATGAAGAAGCCCACACCAGTTGGACTTGCCTGTTGTGTCTGGGTCACCTTGATGATGTAAAAATATAAGCCCATCTTTCAGGCTTTTCTCTACCATTAGGATCTGTAACTCAGAACAAGTGGTTCACTCTGGCGGGGGTGGGGGGTAGTATTCTGAGGCACTAAGCTCTGCCACAGAGGCCCCCATCCCCACCTACTAGTTTTCACCCGGTGCCATCTGAGAAGGTAATTAGCCCACGGTCAAGGCACCACACCTTTCCTCTTCCTGCTCAATGTTCTTCTTTTGTGTTCTGCTCACATACTTCTATTGTTTCCATAGCAATGCAATTTGCTAATGTTGATCATGTGATAGTATGAATTACAGTCTTCAAGGTAATGTAGGTTCAACCAATTGCTGCCTTCCCTCCCCGGTAGATACAAGATACTCTACTAAAGTAGCTGCTTTGCATGGCAGGAAAATTGCTATAAGCACAACTTAATTCTTCTAAGAACAATGCCTGAGAGCAGGGGGTTTTGAAAAGATCTTGAATGTGTTCTAAGAAGTCCTTGAAGGAAAGTGATTTTAAAAAGCATAATCCTTTCAACTGTGTCCATTTCCCTAGCGCCAAGATCATGAAGCCAGACCATGCTGCGCTGGGGATGAAGAAGGCTTTCCACTTAATTTTGACAACAACAAACCCCAACAAGGCAGATGGTACTCTTAACTGAATTGGAATACAGCGTGTGAAAAGGTAAGACGACCAGCAACGTTATCTTTAGGGAGAAGGTGTATCGTGAGTGAAAAACAAGAGGTATTTACTGAAAAGAGTTATCTTTTGCAACCCATTTCCTACAAATACCAAATGAGGTGTTTGGCCTTTTTGATTTTGATCTGCTATAGAAAAGCTTTTAAAATAGTTGGAGAGCTCCCAACTAGATAAAACAGGAGGTTATGCCATATTAAGATGTGCTTGGTACACAGGGAGTAGGGAAAGTCAATGGTTACATCTCTAAAGGACAAAATGGTATCCATGGCAGAAGAAAAAGCAAACAAACAACTACTCAGCCCACTTATCCAAACTTGGGAAGATTGCAAATCTGAGACAGCCAGAGAGTATAATCACAAATCACTTTCAAGGAGCAGATGTATTTTTTTCCTCAAATGGATTTCATTAGAAAGAAAGATGGAATCACACACACACACACACACACACACACACACACACAGGGAAGCAAGACTGATCTGGGTAAATGAAGGAAATTTATTAATAAGAACCTTGATTTTACCTCAGAATCTGTATAGATAGATGGTATGGCAGAAAACCAAGTGGTGTTTCAGGAATCTTTTTACAGAGGTACACTCTGTGCCCTCTGTGTGAAAGAGAGGACAGGTTGGCAGCCAGGCTTTTAGTTAGCTGGAGGGGTCTCCACCCCACATACCCGGATGCAGGGTGAGGAGCACCCAGAATGAATGAACACCTTTCGAGGTAGGCAGGGCAAGCAGTAAGGCTCATTGTGGTATAAGAAACAGACTAAACCTAAGATCAACACTAGGGCTAAGAATCATTCTTATGGTGGGTTAGGTCTAGAGGAAGGTGTCAGATACATTGGTAAGACTTTTGAAGCATCAGCTAACCCCCAGGCAAGGCGTCCTGAGAGAGAGATGTAAGTCTGATTACCATGTCTGGAAGACTGTTTCTTGGTGTGGTGGGGCCGATAGCCTCTGATGTGCTGGAAGGACCAAGGAGAGGGCTGGGCTCTGAAGAGGGCCTTTTACCATTCAGTGAGAATTTCTCCTGCTTGTGGAAAAGGAATATTGCAATCAGGGCACGATTGATCTCTTACCTAGAATTAAACAACAGCCTCGTGGCTGGGCTTCCTGCCTCCAGTCTTTTACCACAAACATTTGTACCCCCAGCCAGCCTTCTCTCACTAAGACACAATGTAATCGATGTAACTGTGCCTCTCACCTGTTTCCAAACCCTTGAGGACTCCCCGCCTGGCCTTCAGAGGTCCTGTGTTTCCCTCCACCCATCTTTTCAAGGCTGTACCCCTCTGCACCCTGCCCCTTGGTTCTAATCATTTGAATCTACTCATAGACACGCCTCGCTTTCCCTCTTCCTTGGCCTCTGCTTTCTTTGTCAGCATCGAACAACTTAGAAAACATGGCAAAACAATACCTGGAGACTGAGTTTCATTTATAGAGGTCTGCCCTAAGAAAGGACTTGTGTAAATTAGCGAAGGTTCTTGGGAAGTAAATGAAAAACTTAAAGCTACTAGCCTTTACATTAAAGAGGTATTACATTGAAAATGCAAGAGATAGGAGAAGCATTTTTATAGAAACCACCCTAGACGTCATCATTCAAAAGGTAGCCGTTTTATGCACCTTGCGTAACAATGATGGAAAATACTCTAGTTTCGGCTACTCTCGAAAAAATGCCACAGTCCTCTGACTGTGTAATGAACATTTGAAGTGTCTGTATTTTGGGTGTCTTGCAAAACACAGAAGTATTTTTTCCTATTGTTAATCATAGAAATAACAAGGATGTACATTCTCTCATGTATTTATTCCTTGGATTAGTGCCAGTTGCTAAGGAGGAACAGAAAAAGCTACCATTGTTTCCTTGTTAAAGAGGGTGTGCTTGCGTGCCCTGTTATTTTATTAGTGATGTAGAGTCACCTCTGGATTGTGGCGTGCTGGCTCTCCATGGCGGCAGAATGATGACATGAAGCCGACCCAGTCTTTAATCTTCTCCCTGTTGATAGGAATAAACTGGCAGCTGGTGCGTGGCCACAATAGCACCTGTACTCCTTTCGAACCAGGGAAGGGTTCTTTTATTAAGGTTGGAACAGGCAGTGGGAGCAGGTACCAGGGAAATTAAGATTTTTTTTTCCGAAGTTGCTTAAATGACCCACTGGCTCCTCACCACCTCCACACTTGCACACTAGAATTAATCTTCACGCCACCTCCGTGAGGAGAGCTCAGGGAAATGGGAAGAACACTGGAAAATAACAGTAATAATCATAGGGTTTGGAGCTCTTGGCTTTGACACTGATTTCTTTTGTGTTCTTAAGTGAGCCCCTTAACCTGTCAGCACCACTTTTGTGGAGCTATCCAGGTATGCCACCCCTTGGGGGAAGGCATGTGTTTATGAAGAATGGGTTTGAATGAATTTATATAAATCACATCTTCTTTTCTATTGACTTTTCACGACAATGTAAAAAGAAAGCTTTTTGCCTTGGGCTTCCTCTGCAACAGATCAGGGTTCTTCATACTTTGGCGTTTAGCCTCTCTGCCAAGCAGATAATCATCTATAAAGGATCCCTTAGGCACTTTGCTAGCACCAGGAGCCCCTCTTAAAAACTGAAGACCCCCCCTCAGGGATGAGCACTGCCCCTCCCTAACATAGGTAGCTTGTACAGATGTTTGTGAATTGATTATTTTTTTTAAGATTTATTTATTTATTTAAGAGAGGGAGAGAGCTGGGGGGGGGAGGCAGAGGGAGAGGGAGACAAGCGGACTCCCCACTGAGCAGGGAGCTCATTCCCACAACCCATGAGATCACGACCTGACCGAAATTAAGAGTCAGATGCTGAACTGACTGAGCCACCCAGGCACCCCTGTGTATGGGGTCCTTTTACATGAAATGCATCTGGGGTGATGGTGATAGGGTTATGGGTTGAATTGCGTCCCCTCAAAATTTGGATGTTGAAGGCCCAACCCCTAGTACCGAGGATGTAACCTTACTTAGAAATCGGGCTGGGTTTTTGTAGATGTACTTAGTTCAGATGACGTCATACTGGCCTCCTAATCCAATAAAACAAGTGTCCTTATAAAAAGTTTGGATGTAGAGGCACGTACCCAGGGAGAATGCTGTGTGAACCTTACAGTTCTGCCGCCACAAGCCCAGGAACTACCAGAAGCTAAGGAGAGAGACCTGGAACAGACCTTCCCTAGGACTTCAGAGGGAGCACGGCCCTGGGATACACTGATTTCAGATACCTAGCCTCCAGAACAGTGAGATAACACATCTCTGTTGTTCTAAGACACCCAGCTTGGGGTACTTTGATATGGCCGCCCTAGGAAACAAATACTGGGATTTTTCAAGATATTTTCACTAATAAGGAAGACTAACAAGATGGTCTTGAAGGGTGTGGCCATGGGCTTCTGTTCAAAGTATGTTGTTTATTGGTTTAAAATGTTTTATTTGTCCGTGTGTCTATTTTTTATTGTGCCCATGGGAAACATTCTGTGCTATTTTGCGACTTACCTGTCCTGAGCAATGAGGAAGTATTCTCTGTTAGTGGTTCGGATGGACATCACCTCATCAGGGCGGCATTTAAACATCTTATGTATAGACTGCATTTTTTCACGGCCACTTATGCCAACTTCAACACTGGAATTTCTGTCAGATATAGACACAAAGTATTAAACAGATTCAAACACGGAGACTAGTGTTTCATATTAGGATTCAAATTGAATAAAATTTAGATCTGCTTGATCAATATTTTGGAAACTGTCCGATAATTTTAGAAAATAAGTTTAGATCTGGTTCAACACTGATTGAAAATACTTTGTTCAGCCTCAAACTTAATTCAAAAATTCTTTTTTCAGTTGGAGTCTTTGTTCTACAAAGTATCATGTTTTCTAATTTTCTTTTTTGTATGTAATTTCTTAAAGAGAAGACAAAAAAAGCCAATCTAAATACTTTTAAAAAATCCATCTTGGCTTTGGGGCGCCTGTGTGGCTCAGTCGTTAAGCGTCTGCCTTCACCTCAGGTCATGGTCCCGGGGTCCTGGGATCGAGCCCCTCATTGGGCTCCCTGCTCGGCGGGAAGCCTGCTTCTCCCTCTCCCACTCCGCCTGCTTGTGTTCCTGGTCTCGCTATCTCTCTCTGTCAAATAAATAAATAAAATCTTAAAAAAAAAAATCCATCTTGGCTTTATGAAATGATGATTTTATCTGCCCTCATCCATAAGTGAAGTGAATCAAAATCTTTTGTAACTAGATGCTTATTAATTAATAATTTATGAACTATAGTATACAATACAAAATAAGTATTTAGCTATGTTTTTACTCAAAAATGTTCCTCATTTTAGCTTCTTTTCAGCAACAAATATTGTTGAGTGTGAAGTCTTTAGTTCTTTCAGTCAATGATTTAAATTTTTATTTGTATGCACCTTGTTAATATTTGCTGCTATAAACGTTTTCTCAATTGGATACACACCGGTCAATTTCAATGGACCCTCGACGATGTTGGTCTTTGTAATAGGAAAGACGCAGGCTCCTTTCCCCACTCTTTGAAAGAATGAAAAACCGCTTTTTCCAAGAGGACTGAAAAATGAAAACATTTTTCATCTTAGTTAAATCTCAGAGGAAGAGAAAGGATTTTAAAAATGTTCATAAGCCTGGTGGGAGGCCTGTTAAATCATGGTGAATACTTACAGCAGAGAAGAAAAGCTGAGGAGGTGGTGATTTAATAAAGTAATCTTGTTTGCAGACTTCATTTTCATAATAAAATGTAAATTGTTTGCCTAATAAAAGAAAGTGAACAGACTCAGTTTGTTCCCTGTAAAGTTTGGAAAAGAACTGCTTCAATTGGAAAACACTATTTACTTCTGGAAAGGTCTTCAACTTATTCAGTGATGGGAAAGAACATCTATAATAGGCCAGGAAAACAAAGAAGCTGAAGGACCAAGAGTGTTCTTATTTCGTCCACAGTCAGGACCTTCCTTCAGATGACATGTAGAAGCTCCTTAATGTCTAGCTCTAGCATCTAGGGGCACGTTGCTGGCTTGCCAGCTGTGAGCAAGGGTTTGTCTCTACTCTCACTGAAGAACCAGCCAGAGGAGCAGGATAATTCTGCCTTGCCTTGGCTTAACAAACAAAAGCAAAACCACCTGCTATTGAAAATGAGGTGGCAAAGTGGTTAAATCACAAGTTTTCCAAAATGTTAACTGCTTCTCAGTAAGTATGGAAATTTATAGGGGCTTTTTTTCTGTATTTTCAAAAGTGTCTTCAAGAAATCCGCACTACTTTCATTATCTAGAAAAATGCAATGTTGTTAAAATAAAATTTATTTAAAAAAAAAAAAAGAGCTTCGTTTTGCTTTCCCATCCAGTCTGTTAGTTCTAGTTTGTCCATGGTTTTATAAAAGACAGCCTTTACTAAAGAGTTAGAGCTTTTTTATTAAGTGGAAACCCAGAATCAGGATTAGGTAGCACAGCTGATGGGGACATTATGCTGTAGTCTATCTAGTGATTCTTTTTTTTTAAATTTTTTTATTGTTATGTTAATCACCATACATTACATCATTAGTTTTTTAGTGATTCTTTTTTTAAAACATTTTTTTAGAATAGTTTTTTTTTTTAAAGATTTTATTTATTTATTTGAGAGAGAGAGAGAATGAGAGAGAGAGAGCACATGAGAGGGGGGAGGGTCAGAGGGAGAAGCAGACTCCCCGCTGAGCAGGGAGCCCGATGCGGGACTCGATCCCAGGACTCCAGGATCATGACCTGAGCTGAAGGCAGTCGCTTAACCAACTGAGCCACCCAGGCGCCCTAGAATAGTTTTTTTTTTTTAAGATTTTATTTATTCATTTGAGAGAGAGAGTGAGAGGGAGTGGGAGCATGAGGGGGGGAGGGGCAGAGGGAGAAGCAGGCTCCCTGTTGAGCAGGGAGCCTGATGTGGGGCTCGATCCCAGGACCCTGTGATCATGACTGAGCTGAAGGCAGACGCTTAACCAACTGAGCCACCCAGGCGCCCCCTTTTTAACATTTTTTTAAGTTTATTTATTTAAGTAATCTCTACATCCAACTTAAACTCATGACCCTGGGATCAAGAGTCACATGCTCTTCCAACCAAGCCAGCCAGGTGCTTTTTTAGCTTCTTACTAGAATCTAGTAATTACTAGAATCTAGTAATTCTTAGGCAGCTGTCCTCACCTTGCCTCCTTCTCCTCTCTCTGCAGCAAATCAGCCTGCTCCCCACCACTCATCCCTTCACACACACACACACACACACACACACACACACACACAGGAAAAGGAAAAGAAAAACAGAAGGAAACAATATTGCCATTAGCTCCTCTTTAAAACCATTGCATGGCCTTGGACAAAAGTCACAGATTTATTTACTGAACAAGTATTTATAGTGCACCTTGGGTCACTAAGTCTCCCTGTTTCCTCATCGTAAAATGGAGACAATGGCACTGATCTTACAGATTTGTGGTGAGGACTGAAGGAGTTAATGCAAGGAAACCTCTCAGGACTGGGCCTGGCACACAGTAAGGCTCACTGAAGAGTAGCTATTATTAGTAATAGAGGAAATTTTAGCCTTTATCATTTGCAGAATAAACCAGTCTCTCATCTGCCTATAACATAGGTGCTCTTTGGTGGTATTAAATTTAGAGGGTTCAACAGACGTAGATATTTTATGAAAATTTGGTCTTAGAAGTCTCTGATAACATTGTATACAATTAGCAGAATCTTTTTTTTTTTAAGAGGGGAGGGGCAGAGGGAGAGGGAGAGAGAATCTCAAGCAGGGTCCACACCCAGCATGGAGCCAGACATGGGACTCGATCTCATGACCCTGAGATCATGACCAAAACTGAAATCAAGAGTCAGATGCTCAACTGACTGAGCCACCCAGGTGCCCCTACAGTTAGCATAATCTTAAAGTAAAGTAAATATCTGTGAAGACGTTGCCTAGTTTGGGCATTCCCAGGGTGTCCCCAATATTCACACTGACTACCAGATCCAAGGCACAAAAACTGACGGTGTTTGTTGACCATGGCAATGGCACTGTTTTCTCCAGAACTGATGCTGAGGAAGCACCTTAACTCTCACCCTTCCACCAGCCTTATGGCCAGTCAATGACTAAATCGTGCCTATTTTCACTTCCCGAATACTTCTGGGATCCATCCCTATTTCTCTGTTCTTACCCGCATTGCCTTCAAGACCTTCAAACGTTTCAGTATGTTTCAAATCATGTGAATTTGAGACCTTTATATGTTTTTAACTGTATTGTTTCAGTAGCTGTCCAGTTTGACCCCCTAATTCCAGTCTTGACATCTTCAAATCCATCCTTGACATACCCCTGAGACTAAATGCCAACTCTGACTGATCTAGCACTTTGGGCAAAGACAGAATAACAAGGACTGGGCTTACCCGACAGAATATATAAAATAGTGGTTTTCAAGACACTGAGCATGGGGAACTAAAGTCACTGATCCCTAAGAGACAGGAAACAATCAAGGTGGGCCCTACAGTTCCCTTGAGAGAGATTCCAGGCTATAGCACTGGAAAGGGGAACTGAGGTGGAACCAGGTGGGTTCCTGAGTTGAGGAGACAGAGCTAAGAGTTCAGGGAGATCAAGGCACTAGAGTTCATAGGATAGAGTGCTAGAGAAGAAAGAACTGCACACAGAAAAAGAATCACAGAAACATGCACAAGGTTCTTCTTAAGTATTCAAGAGTCTTAATCAATATATCAGTGTGAGGAAACTACCCAAGGCCAGAGAAAGTACCATTAGAAAAGATTAGAGGGAACAATGTCTGGTACTCATACAGAACCAGAATAATTACCTGTTCCCTCCAGCCAGACTGGTAAGACTGGCAAGACACTGGGTAGGGTACTCAGAGAGGTCTTGCCTCGGTAGTGAGGGATAATTATCTCTGGGCCAGGGCCTGCTCCAGATCCACCTAACACATCATAGAAGAAAGCCTTAAAAGGATCAAATTGTTTCCAAAAGACTTAATTGCATCCCAGAACAAAGCTCAAGATTTGTAGAAATACAAAAATATGCAGCACCCAACAAGGTCAAATTTTCAATGTCCAGTAACCAATTAAAAACTAGCAAACATGCAAAGAGGCAGGAAAAACATGACCCATAATTAGGAAGATAATTTATTGAAATGGGCCTAGAACTGACACAGATGTTCGAATGAGCAGAGAAAGCCATAGGAACAGTCACTATAACTGTATTTTATAGACTGAAGAAATTAGGTAGTGATATGGATGATATAAAAAAGATCCAAAGTGAATGTCTAAAGGTGAAAACTACAATGTCTCAGCAACAAACAGACAAAAACGCAGGGTAAACAGCATTAATCGCAGGTTTAGTGCACGGGAAGACAAGTAATAGGGACTATCAACATAAATGCAGAGTGAAAAGAGAATCAAAAAACATTAAAAGAGCACCAGTGCACCACGGGATAATTTCAAGTGGCCTACTAGACAAGTAATGAAATCCCTAAGTGGGGAAGGTAGACAGAAAAACATCTGAAGAAATTAAGCTGAAAAGTTTATAAATTTAAAGAAAATTAATAAACCCACAGATCCAAGTAGGTCAGGAACCCCAAACACAAGGTACATGAAGAAAACTACACTAAAACACATCGTAATCAAATTGCTCAAAACCAGTGATAAAGGAAAAAACCTTAAAATCAGCCGGTGTGTGTGTGGGGGTGGTGTTTGGAATATGTATGCAGAAGGGAAAAAAAAACATATGTAAGACATTAGATTTCTCATCAGAAACAGTGCAAGCAAAAAACCAGTGGAGCAACATATTTAAAAGTACTGAAAGAAAAACAGTCATTCTAGATTTCTAAATGCAGCAAAAATATCTTTAAAATAAAGGCAATTTCAAGACATTTTTCAGACATACAAAAGCTAAAGGCATTCATCAACGGGAGGCCTGCATTACAAGAAACATTACAGGAAGTCCTCTGGCTGGGAAAAAAAAATGATACCAGTGGAAATCTGAATATTTTTTAGGGAATGATTGTTTTTTATTTTATTTTAGGATTTTATTTATTTATTTGAGAGAGAGAGATAGAGAGAGCATGAGCAGGGGCTGGGGAGAGGGAGAAGCAGACTCCCTACTGAGCAGGAAGCCCAATGTGGGGCTCAATCCCAGGACCCCAGGATCATGACCCAAGCTGAAGGCAGATGCTGATTGAACCACCCAGGTGCTCCTGGAAATCTGAATTTATATAAATGAAGGAAGAACACTGAATGGTAATTGCAAGGGTAAATATTTATTTGAGTTGTTTTCTTACTATTTAAAACATTTAAAACTTCAACTGACTGTTCAAACAAAAATATTAATATGTTGTGCGGATTATAGCATATGTGTAAGAAAAATACAATTTCAATAAGTAAAATGCATGAAGGCCAGGAGGGGAAAATAGAAGTATACTTTTGTAAAATTCTTCTATAATATGTGAATTGGTATAATATCACTTGTAATAAGATAGACTTGATATGTTAAAGATATACACTATTAGCCCTAAGGGAACCACTAAAATAACAGAACAAATAGTTATAATTAATAAGCCAAGAAAGGAGATAAATAGTATCACAGAAGTACTCAATTAATTCAAAAAAGGATGAAAACGAGGAAAAAGGTGAACAAAGAAAAAAATGAGATAAATAGAAAATAACACTATGATAGACTCAAAACTGATCATATCAATAATCACATTAAGTATAAATTGTCTTAAACCAATTAAAAGACAGAGATGTCAGATTAGATAAAAAAGCAAGACCCGACTGTATGATACTTACAAGAAACGTATTTAAAATACAAAGGCACAAATAGGTTATAAATAAAAGGTCAGAAGAAGGACATACTATGCCAACAACAGTCCAAAGAAAGCTGGGCTGGCTATATTAAAGCAAAAAATAATTAAAATTAAAGCAAAAAAATATTACTAGGGATAAAGATCTTTTTATAATGATAAAGGGGTCAATTAATCAAGAGGACATAACAGTCCTACACATTTATGTACCTAGTAACAGAGCTTCAACATACCTGAAGCAAAAACTGATAGAACAGCACAGAGAAATAGACAAATCCATAATTATTGTCAGGGATTTCAATACCCCTCTCTCCATAACTGATAGAAAAAATAGGCAGAAAATCATAAAGATACAGTGGACTTGGACAACACTATCAACAAACTCGATCTGATTGACATTTCTAGAACACTCAACAAGAGCAGAATGAACACGCTTCTCAAGGGCACATGCAACATGTACCCAACAGGTCATAGGGGTACATGCAACATGTACCCAACGGGTCATATTCTGGGCCATAAAACCAGTCTCAATACATCTGAAAGGATCCAAGGTTTACAAAGTATATTTTCAGAACGTAATGGAATCAAATTGGAAATCAATAACAGAAAACTTTTGGGAGTGATGCATATGTTCATTATCTTGGTTGTGGTGATGGTTTCCCAGGCACATCCACATACCAAAACTTATCAGACTGTACATTTTAAATTTGTGCAGTTAATTGTATGTCATTTGCACCGCACAAAGCTATTTCAAAAAAATATGACCAGCCTAAAATGCAAATCTAATGACCCCTTTCTCTTGCTCAAAAGCCTTCAAGGATTCCGGGTCATGTGAGGTCAAGGCACAGCAGAGTGCCACGGCTTCATCCTCTACTCTCCCCTACTTTCTACACGCATTGTCCTCTGACACACCCTGCCTCTAACCCACGCATTGCTTTTGTTCACGCCATCCCTCTCTGCTGAGACGTGCTCTTTTCCAATCTCTTTTAAAACCCTACACGTCTTTTAGGGTCCAGCTTAGATGCCTTCTCATAAAATCCCTCTGGATTCCCACAACTACTTGTATGCTCTTCCCTAGGTTCTCAAAACATTTTGCACTTCTGATTCCTATCCAACCCTGATTATTTGTGCTTATCTTAGCTTCTCAATACAGTTACTCACATGTGTTTCACTTAGCTTCCCAACAAAATTTGTAAACTCACGGAGAGCAATGACTCTATAACTCAATCTGTATATTCTCTGCAATATGAAGCACCGTGACTTTACTAATAATAGGTGCTTTGAATAGATATTCAAAACTATTTTTAAATTGAATTGGATAATTTGCTTTCTAAGTTATTTCATCCTACCCTCTGCTTTCCTAACTACCCACCTGCAATGAACTATGTCAACGAGAACAAGCACCTTTGAATAATATACCTCGAGCTACCTCTCTAATAACAATTTAGGCGATTTCTCAGTGAGAATTTCCTACCAAATTATGAAATACTCTTCAGTCTTTTCTGGGCTATTATCTGTTTTAGTACCATCTCCAAGCAACAGATGGAACATTTGGTTAATGAAAATCAGAAAATGTCAAATTTCTGGATAGGTGAGCTCTTACAGAATAATTAACCGAATCCAACAGCCCCTACCACACTCTCCATACCAAGAATCATTGTTCCAGAATGATTTTCTGCCTTAGTCTCACTAAAACTGTCTTCTGTATCCTGGTTAGCTTGACCAGAATTGTTCGTCGTTTTCAATAAAGTTTTTTACTTCAGAGAGAATACCCCCTGGGTACCTGGACTCTTCTGAGGTTTGGGTTCCATTATGGCTGTCTGTTCTCATCTGTCAAAAGGAAGTTAAACGCCAGTTAGTCCTCAAACAAAGTGTGCTTCACTGATTAGCCACTCAGTCGTGGAGCATCGGGGTGATGCCCGCGAATGTTGCTGCGATGGGTTATCAGCCTTCCACTTTCCATTCTGCCCCTAAGGCTGATAGTCGCCACAATAACAAGGACACATACAAGCAACTTGTGTTCACCAAGTGGCAGTTCTGTGGAGGTGTTGCTAGCACGACGGAAAGAGCCATGTACCCTGGACTTTCTCTGCTCCTGCTCCGTAAGGGACTCTGACAACAAAGCTCCTGGGGGAGACAGCACCGAGGAGGAGAGACAAGAACAGGGCAGAGGGCAGGAGGCTATGGACCCAGTGCAGCTGAGAAAGCATGTCTAGTCAAGAGCAAGCATAGGATAAGCCCTCCTCCATGCCAGGAACTTGCTTTCTCCAGAGGGAAACTGAAGAGCAAGGACCTGGGCATAGCCGTGTTCTTAAGCTGCCTCAGGTGCCTGCCCCGCTCCGGGGTGAAACTGACTTGGGGAGCTGGAGCTCTTTCCTGGCAGCTGTGCCGGGATCCCTTGACCACCGTGGGGCCCTGCGAGAAGGGGGATCCCACAGAGGAAAGGGCCTCAGGGCAGGGCAGATCTTTGCAACCAGGCATGTGTTGGTGATCAGAGTAACTCTCAAAACAGAGGGTAGCATCAAGCAGGGCAGTGCCAGGGCAGTCCCAGGAAAATGGGAGGAGGCAAAGGGCCCTCTGTACATATTTTGCATGTTATAAATAATACATATAACATGCAAAATATGCGTCAACCAACTCTAAGGCTTCTGGTTAATAGTAGGATGTTTGTGGTTAAGTGTTTGGGGGAGTCAAAAGTTATACATGGATTTTCAACTGTGTGGGGGGTCATCACCCCTAACGCCCATGTTGTTCAAGATTCAACTGTATATGTATATAAATACTGGACTTCCTACATAACATATATTTCATATTATGTATATGAATTTTGTGTTACATATATGAAATCCAGTATATGTATACATATGTGAAATCCATTACATATGAAACCTATTATATAAATTTTGCTTGTATAACATAAGCAAAATAAAGCATAAGCTTATGTTATATATGCAAAATTATATATTATATATGAAATCCCATTCAATTTCATATATATTTTTATTTATAAAATATATAGATGTCACATATATTTTTACATATAATACCATAAAACTGACACTACTTTTACAATGGTATAATACCCATTTTACAGATGAGGAACCTGTCATCAGAGATACTAAGCAATTTGCTTTTGACCACGTAACTAAGAAAGAAGCAGAGCCAGAACTATAACCCGCGAGTTGTCTGAACCACTTTGCTTTTCCTCCTCTTTAAGAAGAATTAAACCTTTTCATAGTTCTACTTGCATTTCTTGTCATTGCCAGCCAACAAAAAAGCCTTTCAGATTTATCTCTTTGATCTCATTCAGAGGAATCTACCCACTGTCATTGCCTATAACCTGTTCACTTTAATGTCATTTGGGATTTGATCAGCGTGATACCAAGAGGTCCTATTTCCTTCTGACTGTACAGTTATGAACTGCGAGCCCAAAACAGCAATTTTGCTCAATTAGTATTTCAGATTACCACAGCCTTGAGAACCTAAAACATTCAAACCAAGCAGTACTTACTAGAAACCAGGGGCTCGCTGCTTCAGTTCTCAGCCAAGTGCCCTGTCCCTGGGTCTCCTGACCTGATCGCTGGCTGTCCACTCTGAGCTCTGAGTGGTAAGGTGAAAATTAAATACAATCTGTTTGAAATGTGAACCAACAGGAAGTTCCTAAATTACTACCTTAGGGCAGATTTTATGCTTGCCTTTAGCTCGTATGGAAGTTGCTGTCCTAGGGAAAGTTCTGGGCTTTCATTCCTTTTGTGGCTTGGCACGGAACTGCCCTTGGCATTCCAACTGTCTAGCATCAGAAAATAAAAGTGAACAAATAAGAAAAAAAATTCCCACTAGCCCTTTGTTCATAGTCACAATGCTTCTTATTGAGAACAGTGTCAGCCTTGCCTTGACCTCGTACACTCATTACTGTTGAAATAATGCCTTTGCTTCCCACCCATCCGTAACCTCCCAAGGTTCTCCCGGGGAAGGTAGGGGGAATTCCTCTGCACCAGATGAGGAAACAAAAGCCTGACTTCTCCAACACACTTGCACATGCCAAGGATCTCCAGGACAATTTGCTTCTTCATCCGTAACAGAGTTGTCCTCAACAGGGTGGCACAAGGCAGGCTCTCCTGTACGGACACCCAACAACTCCTAAAAATAAGAGTTTTGCTCACCACCCCCCACCCCGACTTGTGTTCTCTCTCTCTCAAATAAATAATAAAATCTTTTTTAAAAAGGGTTTGCTCACAAGAGGCAATGACAGTCAAGCCTTGTTGAAATCCTCCTCTTTGCTTCCAATGTACCCTTCTCATCTGGTTCTCTTCTGCTTTGTCTTTTTGCTTGCTCCTCTACCTGCATGCAGGGGATTCATTTCAGAATCCCCAGTTCCTTCCTTATATATCTGCCCACTCTGCAAGTATTTCTTGATGCTGGGAGTGTTGAGAGTCTCTCGAGATTTGTGCCCTTGAATTTAGCAAGATGCCTGTCTGACTGATATGTGATTTTCTCTAGTGGCATTCAGCCATTCAGGAACAGGATGGGGAAGCTGAAGGGTGAGGTTCATTTCAGGTTAACTGTGTTTTTTTAAAAATATTTATTTATTTATTTATTGCCAGGAAGATACCACAGATAGACAAAGGAGCAAGGGAACTTAGGATATTTGCAAAAGCCTACCCCAAATGATGAACCATGGAATTGGAGGGGCATATGGAGGAGAGAGAATAGAAGGGGGCTCCTAGGGAGGAAGTACTGGTGAGATTGAAGAAAGATAGGGCAAGTTGGCTGGAAAGGTAAGAAGCAATGCTTGGAGTCGGCATGACTGACCGCTGATCTGAAAAGTAGAGCAGCTGTAGGGAGTGGGTGGCTTTGCTATAGTGGAGAAGGAAGGTCATTGGTGATGAGGTCAAGGAACGGAGAGGGTAGGGTGTTTGGTCATGCACGTGGACATCCAGTTTCTAATGCTTTTTGAAATATGAGAAAGAGAATAAAGGTAATCGTCTACCCACCTCCCTCAACGCATACATTTTTATTCTTGGATTCATTTGTAAAAGCAAAAGCAGACACAGATGTCAAAAGAGGACCCTTGGATCCATAGACGATTGAAGTCAAAATCCTCTTATACTGCAAAAGAATTCTTGGGTCCAATTTCTGGGGAACAGGGGATGTCTATAGGTGTTAGAGGATGGCCTGAAGAGTGTGGCCTAGGGAGATAGCGAACAAGACTACCACTGGGGCCAGATGAGAGATGATGGGGCTTCTTTTTTCTTCTCTACCTTTCCCTTTATTGCCCTGAGTCCTTATATTGCCCACCTGGTTGGCACTGGGGCAGTGGGATCAGGGTTGGTAGGGAAGGGGTGGTAATATAGCTCACAATAGGAAGAGAGAGAAACAAGCAAAGTGGGAAGGGGACTCCCAAAAGTTGGGACCCCACAGAATAGCTTCTTCCCCAAAAACCCATCTCCTGCATAAGGTATGATGCAACTCCTGGCACCCTATGTTTCTTAGATCCTCCTCTTGGTCAGCAATGGATCTTCCCTGCTTCTCAATTTATTTGTACTTCAATTTCTATTGTAACAAAAGTAACTATCTTTCATGTCTGGGCCTGGAGGAGAAAAAGCATGTTCCATATGGATTTTGAATAAATTATGAATTTGAGGAATCAGGCAAAACCCATAAAATCAGCACTTACCATTATTTCATTCTTTTGCCTTTTGTCCTGGGAGGTGTATGTGTGTGTGTGTGTTTTAATGCTTGTATCACTTTGATTTCCTGTTCAAGTTGAAGGCAGTTAATAAGAAAGAATATTTTATTTCAGTATTTATTGGTACCAAGCAAGGTATTGCTATCCATAGCAAGCACTATTGGGGATAAAAGAAGAATTAAACACGGACAGTGTTCTTAGTGACCTTATAAGCTAATATGGGAGCTAAGTGACATAACAAAACCAAGCAATGTGTTACTCAGGGTCCTAGCAGGGAATAGCATGCTCCAAGGATTTATGGAAGAGAGTTGTTAAAGGGACTATCTATAGAGGTGTTGGCTGGATTAAGAGAACCAACAAGGGGTGGGGAAGCATTCAGTGTCTAGCAATGGCGGGAAGTCTTCACCACCTCCAGGCCTGCTGGGGTAAGAGGAGGTAGCAGTGTTGCCAGATTCTGATGAGAGCGGTAGCTGTGGGTGAGGTGCCACCACACAGAAGCAGTGGTTGTAGGAAGGCGAAAGTTGCCACTCTCAAAACTATGGCCCTCGTGGAGAGAGTAGGGTTGAGTAGAGGTGGAGTAGGAAGGGGAGAAGCCAGCAAAGGAGATTAGAAAGGAGCAGATGAGTATGTGACAACACAGAAGCGTGTGGTATCTGGAAGTGGAAGCAAATGTTTTGGAAGGAGGGAAGGGTCCATCCATGCCAAATGCTGCCAAGAAAATGAGCAAGATGAGAACCGAGAACTGGTCACTGGATTTGGCAAGATGGAGGCCATCATGATCTTGGCGAGAGCTATTTTAGTGGAGTGGTGTAGAGTAGAAAATCTGATGGGAGTGGGTGAAAAAGAGAAATGGTCCATCTGCTGGGGTACAGAACATAGCAGAGAAGAATGGAGAACAGTGGAGAGTTCTTTGGAGAAGTAAGTGAAGATGATTCAAAAAGAATCCAAAATGAATAATATGAAGTGGTGAGTGCTGTCAGAGCAATGCAAATCAGGAGTCGTGGGAATTCAGAGGAAGGACCTGTTCTTCCAAAGGCGGAAGAGGATGAAACCAAAGGGGAGATGTCATGGAGGAGGTGACATCTCAGCTGAGTCTTGAAGCCTCCCTACCCTCCCACTCCC